CCCCTCAATAGATGAGAAGGAAAATTTAAGATTTTTGTATTTGCTGTAATATCCTTTTCTTGAAGTTTTTTTTTTGGGTGGGCACATGTCCTACACCTCTGTTTTATAATGTTCTTGGTACTGCTTTGCTACAAGACTGAGGCATGCTGGTAGTAGTGGTTATTCTGGGCAGGCCTACAGTTTATTACAATAGCAAATGTATCACTCACACGTGAAGTGCAATTATCTCAAAATGTGTTCTCTCTGATAATATACTATACTATGGCTGTAAGTACAGTGGAATTGATGTCAAAACAAAACCATTTAGAACACCAGGGACTTCAAGCATTAACATGAAATTATCAGAGAGATTTTTCCCATTGCAACTGGATTTTCTAGTGCAGCTTTGATAATGGCATCAAACACCTTGTTGCTATGAGCAGCAGCTTTTCCTTTTTTTTCTTTTTTTTATACATTTGACCCTGTATGTTGGCTCTAATAAGATGATTAACTGTTTATTTTTTATTTTTTTAAAAAGGGTTTTTTTATTGTTATAACTTTGGAACCAGCTACTTTTTATTTTACAGGCTTAGTTTGGCTGAATGCTTTTTACTGCAGTATGGCTTGTGATCCCACTATACAGAGCTTGGGTATTAGGAGATGAGTGGGATCATGAAAAGCCTCGGGCTAAGCTTTACAAGTCTTTCTTGATGTTTTTTCATCTCGGTGTGCAGCTCTTCTTTGCTGTACTTATGAGGGCTGTCCAGATTCATAGACAGTTGTGTGGTTTTGGAGAACAATAAATGAAAGACCGCAAGATATTTTTGTTTCAAGAAATAAGGTGCTCGCAGTGTTGGTGAAGAACAATCTAAACTTGTTGGTATTCTTTAAGTATTCTTCTGAAATATGAAGGCTTTGGTGTAATCATTTAATAGAATTTTCAGCAGTAGCTATACTTTTAATGATGACAATTAATATGATTGCATCTGGGGATACTTTGAGAGAGAACTCCAGGCAGAAATTGTATTAACCCTTGCAGTGGGGCTACCCCCGCACTGCAAGGGTTAACTGCTCATTTTTGCCTAGGGTCCCAAAAAAAAAAGTTTTATACTCTCCCGTTACTCAGAGCAGGCTGCGCTCCCTCTAGCCTGTCTCCTCCTCCTCCTCCGTCCTCATACCATATACACTGTATTGGACGTAATTATCCAAGGATTCCTAGACGGCTGCAGAGGAGAGGGGAGAGATGTTCTAGGGACCGGTCTAAAGCTGCCCATACACCTGCCGATTATCGTATGATTATCGGCAGGTGTATGGAAGGCGTGCGACCGTTTCTTCTGTAAGGTCGCACGTCTTTTGTCTTCGAAGCACGCTGAAAAGCCTGCCGAAAATCGTAAGATTTTCGGCGGGTTAGTGGCGTGCTGGGAAGACAAATGCCGAACGGGCCGGTGTGCGCAAGCGCACACTACGCGCTCAGCATTCCAGTCATCGGAAGCCCTCCCCTCAGCTGGGCGGGCTTGCGATGATCGCAAACACGAACTGCCTGTCCATGATGGGCAGATCGTACGAGCTTTTAATTACCTCCCAACCATCGCAGGATGAATGTCATGCGATGGTTGTAAGGTGTATGGGCACCTTAAGAGTTTGCTGTCTCAGAGGTTTAGGCGAGTATCTTTTTTTTTTTTTTACCCAAAAACGAGCCGTTAACCATTGCAGTGCGGGGATAGCCCCACTGCAAGGGTTAATACAATTTCTGCCCAGAGTTCTTCTTTAAATGACGAGCATAATAAAGATACATAGGCCTGACCGCGGTCTGTTGCCTGTCTCTATTTTATCCTACACTAAAAAAATTACTTATGGTCATCTTCTCCTGAATTTGGTAAAAATCCCTTCCATTAGGGGTAGCGTGAAATGCTCTCATCCTCATAATTAGAGCTGACGTGTGACTCTGAAGCTGTCACACGTCGGCTCTATTGATTGAGAACTGAATGATCACATACCGCTGATTGGTCACTTCATGATCTTCTCCCTACAGAGAGCGGTGACTGTCGGTCATTACCCGATACAGGGATTTCCCCCTCCGCTGACTGGAGAAACAGACTGGGAAGGGAGGGGCACAACTGGCTCTGCGTCTAGAGAGGTAGGGCCATCTGTCAATCGGATAGCAGGATGGATCCTGAAAATATTGTTGGGTTCTTTTCTGGCTGCAGCGTGTCTCTGCGCTGTCGGCATATATTGGGCAATAGCCCACTATATCCTGAGTTTTTTGGGATAGTATATCTCCTCCTGTGACCCTAAAGAGAAGTATGGGCAAAAAAGGTTGGGCCATAGTTCTCTTTTGGTTAGGCAACCTTGGCACTCCAGCTGGGGTGAAACTGCAAATCCCATTATGTCTGTGGCTGTCAGATTCCCATTATGTCTGTGGCTGTTACAATGCCTCATGGGACTTGTAGTTTCACCACTGCTGGAGTGCCAAGGTTGCCTATCCCTGCGTTAGCTGGTTGTCTGTCATGCTGAACATTTTGAATTCTTTAGTTGGGGAATTCAGGAGTTCTGACTTTGCTAAGGGTATACTTGCATGGTGACAGTGAGACCAGAGACAGCCAGGCAGCTAGCATTTGCAGATGAAAGTCAGCAATGACGGCCTTCATATACGCACACATTTCCTTTAAACACACAAAAAATGTGTGAGGGTCTTCAACATATAAAATCGTTTTGCAGACCTTGTAGTTTGTAGGAACTTCCTTGATAATGGCTGTCTGATGAAAGGACTCCATACCTGTATTGACATGTGTTTTTCTCAAGGCACTGATTCAATGCAGCTGCTACATTCTAATGTGACACGTGGGGCTTTGCTGACTGCTACAGTTTCATTTTACCCTGCCTAGTATATAGGGCTGCAACTAACCACTATTTTCATAATCCGTTAGCTGGGCGGTTATTTTTTCAATTAATCAGATATTGAATAAGTAAATAAAACAATACCATACTTCATGTAAAATAAAATACACAAATTACAAAAATATTTTTACAATCGCTCCGTACAGGAATGCCCGGCATTGTCGCACCACGTGTTCCAGTGGGCCGATCGCACTGCGGGCAGGAGGCGCATTTTGGGGTGCCATTGATATTTTTGCTATTTTTTAAATATTTTTTTACTTTATTTTTTATTACTGTTAGGGGCTTTGGGGAAATATCAGGGGTCTAAACTGATTACACAGAGATAGCCACGTTCTCCCTGTGTAATCTGCATGACTGAGGTATCAATCTGACGGCTCTGCGTTGTTTTATGAATGACTGTTACAATAAAAGCTTTCATTCACTAATTACTATTTCATGTGGGGAAAAAAAATGTACTGTGATTTATTTAGTTTTTTTAATTATTGGTATGGTAAACTTTTTGCATTCATTCATGTTTGTATTTCCAAAAAAATAAATGGCTTTTAACCAGAAATATAATTCTAGTCAATATTACAAAGATAATTCTAACTTTTTACCACTAATGGTAAGCATTAGTGGTACGTTTTTAGTCAACCCCGGTGTTTATTAACGCCTTCATCCCCTTCACTTTTTTTTGTAGTTTTGGGTAGGGGGTAGACTTTGACACCCTGGGAATCCATAGGTAAGGACAGCTGTGATAGAGCTAAGAGCCCCCTCAATGTCCCGGATATTGGTCTAAGGAGAACTATTGGGAAAAGCCCTAACCCCATAGTTCTCCTTTTAATCATACCACCTCTGATCACTGACAGCTGTCAATCAGAATACTGCACATGGCATGGGAGGCGGGGTTGTCACAGAAGAACATAAGGTGGCCATACACATTACAACCATCGCACGACTTACGTTGTGCGATGGTTGTAAGGTGATTAAAAGTTTGTATGACCTGCCCATCATGGACAGGCAGATCGTACTTGCGATCATCGCAGGTCCTCCACGCTAAGCCTGGCGAAAATCATACGATTTTTGCCAGGCTCTCTAGCGTGCTCGTTATACAAAAATCGTACCACCGCACAGTAAATGCGGTCGCACGCTGTGCATCAACCTTACGATTCATTGTACGATCGCGGGATCACCCACGATTCTCATACGATAATCGTCAGGTGTATGGGCACCTTTTATACTTTATTGGCAGCAGAGAGTTCATGAACTAAACATCAGCATGATCCCCATATTGCTGAATATCAGTATTCGGGCTGGAGCAGCCTCAGGAGGGAGATCTGTAGAGTTGAAGCTGAAAGCACTTTTTACATTCTTTACTCATAACTGACCATAGACAATTGCTGTCATTTTATTCAGAACACCTAGTTAGTTAGTTTACTGAACAGCTAATAGAACATATGAAAGATTTCTGTTTGTTACCTGGTTTAAATGTTTTTTGTTTTTTTTTATTGGATTAAAATGAATACAATTTTAGTTGTACAATGGGTTTAGTTTGTTGCACTTTTTATTTTATTTTTTAAGCATTTACCTTCTTTGTATTTTTCTGTCTTCTAACTGTACTTTATACAATTTCTGATATATTTTATGTTCATATTTAAGGCTGAATTCACAAAACTTCCCCACAATGATTGGGACCTTTATACAGTGGTACCTCGGTTCACGAACGCTTCTGCTCGCGAACAATTCGGTTCGCGAACAGGACGTTCTGCAAAATGTTGCTTCTGTTTGCGAACTCCGCATTGGATGACGAACACAACTGCAGCCATCTTCCCTGCTCTGACACATGGTCGTGGCTTCCTCTAGTCGAGATCGCGGTCTGATCACAGTTTGATTTGGTTCGCGACCAATTCGGTTCCCGACCAGAATCGTGGAACGAATTAAGTTTGTGAACCGAGGTTCCACTGTATTAGCCATGTTGCTGTAATTTTCAAATATTATTACAAGGTTCTGAAAAGAACGATCATTTGTTTGTGTAGTGATCCATCCTTTACTGGCGTGTGAGCTTTGTGAAATGAGCCTTTAGTGTAAGACTGCTTAGATTGAGTTATTATTTTGGTAACTCTTCCATTCTGTTTGTTTTTCAGGTTTTCTGACTGAAGACAGTTTTGTTAACCCCACACCCTCCGAGTATATTCAAATCCAGCCACAGCTTGGAATGTGCCATCTTATGGAGGATTAACTAGTGCAGTTTTAAGGAGGTTCTGCACAGAAGGACTTCAAACAAGTGCAAGAAAAACAGGGCAGAAAGGAAGAAAAATGTCATCAAACAGGGGTCAGAATCCTCATGGACTTAAACAGATTGGCTTGGACCAGATCTGGGATGACCTGCGGGCCGGCATCCAACAAGTTTACACCAGACAGAGCATGGCAAAGTCCAGATACATGGAACTCTATACGTATCCTTATATCTGCTTCTAGAGCATTGCGCCTCATGGTAACTCTTGAAGGATTTCTGAAACGTGGAATTGTCAGACCCTGAAAACTCGTGTCTTCTGCATATAAAATAACAAATCTTTTTTTTTTTATGAATGTTAAAAAAAAAATGCAAAATGGTGCCCAAGCCACATATTTGCAGCTTATCAGAAAATCTAGCCATTTTTAGTCTTATTACTCATCAATTCTGTTTCTGGGACCTAGGAGATTTCAAATTCCACCGGAAATATAAAGCACTAAGGTGGTTTGGGTGTGTCGCTGAGTTGGGAAAGATTCCAATTTAATAGTGTGTTTAATCAGTTACCTTCTTTTTTCCCCTGGAATTTACATTTGTATTTTGTTTCACATTTTCACACTTTATATGGTAAACCCGTATGGAAATGTAGATGTGCTTTGCGCAGTGACAAGCAGTGGCATAATGTTGGTAAAGTAATTTCTCTATTGAGTTTCTTGCCATCTTCAGGTAAGACAAACACTGGGAGGAATTTATCAAAAGTGGAACAGACAGAATCTGGAGAAGATGCCCATGGCAACCAATCAGCATCTCTTTTCAGTTTGCTCAGGTAAGATTTGAAAATGAGAAGCCGATTGGCTGCAGTGCAAATCTGCTCCAGTTTTGATAAATCCCCCCCACTGTCTTAAAGAAAAGAAGTATTGGAGTAAAATAAACTCTTCCAAATATTTTGAGCCGGCATGAGACACTGCAGCTCTCCACTATATACCGAGAGCTGAGTGACCATGCAAACGCAGATCGCTCAGCTCACTCTCTCCTCCCTGCAGAGAGCAGATACTGTCAGTCATTGCTCTCCGCATGGATTTCCCCCCACCTATCTGTTTCTCCAGCTTTCATTGGAAGGACAGACAGGGGAGGGGGGCAGGCACAGCTGGTTCTGGCTCTAGAGAGCCAGAGCTGGCTGTCAATTGGACAGCGGGGTGGATCCTGACATTGTTTGTATCCTTCCTGGGTGCAGCACAGCTCTGTACTGTCAGCATATAGCTTGCATTAGTCCACTATATGCTGACTTTGGGTCACAGGAGAACATTAGTAAATGTATTCTTGTGACCCAAAGGAAATGGCAAGTTAAAAAAAAAAAAAAGTGTGGCTTCACTTATCTTTAAAAGTTGTCTGTGTCCCCATGGGGGAGGTTCACTTCTCTTGTTTGTACCGAACATTACTAAAACGGAAAGCGAGAGAAAGTCCAAAATTTAGAGTTGTCACCAGTGCAAGAGGTGAGAGTTAATATTCCAATCGCAACACTTTTTTCTCTTGTGACCGCTTTCTACGATGGGAATTCTGCTTACTTTAAGAGATTTCCTCTGACTTCCTGTTGCATCTCTGGAGTGAAGGTAAATCTCCCCAGTGGAACGCAGACAGCAGAAAAATAGCCTGAAGGGTTTTACCATGCCCTACTTTATCCAAAACTAAAAAAAAGGTTTTACCCTACATATACTTTAAAGGGAATCTGTGCTCTGAGGGAATCCAAGTGATGGAATGTGTTGTGCGGGGTCAGTGGTGTCATTACGTTCGGTGAATTTGCTCCTCACTCTCAGTGAGACCAGAACTCTGGGCGGAATTTTTTTTAACCCTTGCAGTGGAGCTATTCCCCACCCTGCAAGAGTTAGGTGCTTGTTTTTGTCTAGGTGCTAAAAAAAAGTTAGTCACCCAATCCTTGGAGCCCGCTTGCTGTTAGAGAGGCTGACTTCCCCTAAGACCAGTCCTTCCAGCCTCACTGCAATGGTTGGGGAAAAAATCTGCCCGGAGTTTTTCTTTAACAATTTTTAAACACCCCTACCACTCTTGGGCTGGCCATATAGGGAACAGTTCATCTGATCCCACAAAAATGTGGCCAATGGTAACAACATTCAAAATGCAAACAATTTTTTCTAAACATCTTTTTTGGTGGAAATAATTTGTTGCAGTCCTATGTGCTATGGAAGGTAACGTACTTTACGAAGATGTATTTCTACTGTCCTCTGGGATCATTCTCTGATATTGCTCGTTACCTACTGTTTGTGTGCATCACCAAACAGTTTTTTTTCATGTTGGAAAATCAGTTGATTTGATATTTGGCAATTTGCTCGTCATTTTTGATCATGAGTTGAACTGATTGTCTTGGAGTGGATATGTAGTCCGCTTTAGTCTAGCTGCAGAACAGAAGGTACAGTGGAGAGATAACAAAGGGTGGTTTTCAGTCGCCTATACTAGCATGTCATGTTGATAGGCTCAGTAACTTTTAATGAATACATAGCCAGACTAAATTTGAGTGTGTGTGTAATTATATATATATATATCTA